TCCTGGCTCCTGACTTCAAAGTAGGTGACAAAGTCTACCTCAGTTCTAAACACATCAGAACTACTTGCCCTACTGTGAAATTTGCTGAAAAATTCCTAAGACCATTTGACATCATTGCTCAGCCTGAATCCCATTCCTTCACTCTCAAACTCCCATTGGACCTCTGTTCTATTCATCCCATATTCCACATCTCCCAACTCGAACCCATGGAGACCAACACTATCCCTAACTGTACCCAACCTCCTCCACCTCCAGTCAAAGTTGACAGTGAAGAACAGTACAAGATTGCGCAAATTCTCAACTCAAAGCTTGATCGTCAGTTCTGTTGTCCACTCCTATACTGAGTTCAATGGTTGGGTTATGAAGGTACTGATGAAGAGTTTGCCTGGATCCCTGCCACAGAATTCTCTGCAGACGAATACATCAAAGATTTCCACTGTCATTACCCAGACAAACCAGGTCCACTATCCAAAGCCACTATCTGCAAAGTCTCCCTAAAACCCTCAACCCTTACTTCTTGAACTATCCCTAACTTATCAGCTCCCTATGGTTTCCACTCCTTGAATTTCAAATCAAATCCTGGAAAACTATTGCAAATTACTTTCCTAATCAGGAACAGAACCTATCAGACACCTATTTCTTGGTTTTTCCTTCCTCTCAATCACTCCAGTATTTAAGTTAAGATATATATATTATTGCCCATTGGGGCCCATGCTTTCAAAATCTGTGTACAAAAAAATGTTCCAGAAAAATAATCAAAGTTCAAAAAAGTGTTTAGGAGTCCGCAGGCACCAAATCCCCCATCACTATGTCTTCTTCCTCTTCATCCACCTTATCCTCCTCACCATCCTTTTTCTTGTTGCTCATCACAATCAGCTCCAACTCGTCTAACTCTGGGATCCCCATGAAATGTGCTCCTGGCAGCATTTCTGGCAGTTTCTTCTCCTTCTCATCCCACTCCCCATTGGAATGCTCTACCAAAAATCCCTCCGCATGCTTCAAATAAACTTTCCACATTGCTCATTTGCCCTGACAGCTCCCACGCTCATAAAACCTTCATCTCATATCCAAAAACCTTTCCCTAGCTGTAACGCACATGCCAATTCAACTCCAACAACCCGCATTTCAGAATCCTACAGATTCCAATTCCCAGTTTTCTATTTTGTATTCCATTTTATATTTCATCTCTCCATTTTAATTTATCAATAGCCTGATGTTGGTAGCGAATATGTCATTGGACTCCATTGGTTACTGACCAGTAGATTACAACCTCTGACCACCCTAGAATGTAGACTACTGCCAGTAGGAACTAGATCGGACTCCTAACTAGTATATAAGACTTAGAATTACACTGTAGATACTCAGTTCGAATATCAACTTGATTCAGCCCAATTCTCTCTCTTTCTCTCTGACTCTTAAGTCTAATCTCTTGTTCTCCAGTCCATGGAACTCTGATCCACTGGACTTATCTCTTACCTCATCTCTGACACTCCACAGACTTCCATCCATAATCATCTTAGGGCTTCAGCTCAGGGGTGACATTGCTAATAGCTTCGCCTATGCCTGATGCATTCCATGGCTTTCCACTACATGCAACTTCTGCTGCATTCCTATTGGCACGATCCTAACACTAGCCTCCAAGGCTTTTTCCAGACCATCCTCCTCATAATACCTGTGCCAGAACTCAATGTTCACCAGTTCAAAGGGATTGCTACCATCAAATGTTTCAGGACCTGTTACATGTGCATACCAAACCTGTGTGACATCTTGATCAAAGCACATATGCATTGCCTTCTGTAGGGCCTCCATGTTGATGTTCTTGAGCTTTTCAAGCTCAACCTTCAATGACTAGATCTCTTGCCTATACTTCTCTGGGATGAAATCCCATGGGTACTCCAGTTCATTGCCTGAATGAAAATCATCAACTAAGTCATCGATGTGGCTCCTGAGGACATCCACCTTTCCTTCTACCCTCTCCAAACTCTCCTCAAACTCATCCATCTTCTCATATATCTTTTGCAAGAGGTCTAAGACCTCACTGTATCCTGCAGATCCTGATCCCTTGCCTTGATTAAACACACACTTAGTCTTCTTCAACTTGCACTGCTCACAAGTATGACTGCTCCTAATAAAACATTTGATGCCATCCACCTTGCAATACCCACAGTGCTCTACACAACAAGCCAGCAAACCTCCAGAACCCATAGAAAACATACCATTGTCCTTATATTCCTCATCATCAGCCTGCATCTCAGGCTCAGTTTTCAATTTCTTCAAGAGCCTCTCCGATGGCCTCACAGCATCCTCACCCTCACTCAGTACCACCTCACTAGACTTCACCTTCCTCTTCTTCAATCCCCCCGTGGTCTCCAAATCACCTGTAGTCTTAGTAATGAGACTTCCACCCTTGCTGTAGCAAGGAAAACCCATTAAATTATTTCCCATTGTAGCAAGGCTCTCTGCATTGAGGCAAAAGCCTTAATACACATCACTAATGAGTGGGCTGTTGCTGAAGAGTTATAAATGTGTCAGCAGGCCTAGACATTGTTCACCGATATCCTGCTTGACATCCAATGCTCACCAATGCCTTGCTCAACATCTGATGCCCAAAATGGAATAATCTATATAGCCTATATCCTACAGACCACTAATACAAGCAGACTACATTATGAATCATTATCTATTGTCAGAGGGTGTATTAGACTGTAAATCATTAGAGCCTTCATTGTTGTCGCTTTTCTCAGAGCTGAACAGCTCCACCCCAGTGTCTGTCTCCCAACTAGCCTCCCAGTTATTTCTCCTACCCCACAGGACCTCGAAAGCCTCTCTCATCCTTTCTCTATACATCACCTGCTTCTGTGCAAATGCTCGTCTTCCTCTTCATACTTCCTCAGCTACAGGCATGTCAGCTTGAATTGCATGTGCACACCACTCCTCTGCCTCAAATTGCAATGACAGTGATGTATGCTTCATCTCCTTGCATAAAATATTCACTTCTTCACACCAGCATGCCTTCTGGGCCAGCGCCTTTGCCCATTCTACTCAGACCACTGCAAACATTGTTAACTCTTAACACAAACCACAACACTTGCACACATACACTTATGAATACCACCATCAACCTCACAGCCTGGACCTCCAAGCACTGTCCATATCCAAGATAGTTTGGAGGGCTTATCTCTTACCACAGGTCCTCCTTGAGACTGTCAACTACCCATCTTTCCCAGTCATTTAGTTGCCTTCACATCATGCTCTTGTATTTGCACTGCAGTTATGTCTTCCTGCACCAACACTCTAAATTGACCATGGGCCTCTTCACCACATAGTCAAGCCATCGCCTCTCTGCTGCATCTGTACCTCACAGCTGCTGCATCAATATGGTCTGAAACAGTGTTGATGATTGTCCTCACTCTTGTCGACATCTGCTGGCCAAAGACATTCACATTTCTGTACCAGATGAGGTGCTGCTGGTGATGAACCTATAGACTCCCATGGGTGGAAACACAAAACCTAGGTGCGGTATGTGCTAACAGACACAGAATCTGAAGGATGGTTCTAGTGAGTCTAGTTGGGCACCTCTGTGTGGTGACTAAAGCCTCCTAAGTTCAGAAAGGTAAAGAAATCTCTCTACTGATAGTGTAGAGAGTGGTAGTGAACTATAAAATTCACAAGAAGGGAAGTAATTGAGAAAGGGATCCTAGAGGTGGCCCTAAAGACTAATCAGTAAGTGTACAAGGACTATACCTTGTTCTTATTGCAACTCTGGCTGCAAATGCAATGAATGAGAGCTCTAAAGAAACTATCCAAGTTCTAGCTGTGAACTTAGAGGCAGTAGCAAATTATTTAACTCATGTGGTATGGTTGAGTCAAGGTAATGAGGATCAGTCTGATACTCAATGAGACTTTCTCTGGCTGTGAGAAAGCGAAGATGTTGGTGGGATTGATGAAGATGCTGTCTCCTAGCTGCAGAAACAAGTGAATTTTTTTGCATAGCAAAGCAATAAAAGAGTCTCCTAGTGGCAGGACTCCTTGATACTTTGCGTAGAAGGTAGGAATGGGTTGTAAGCATAAGTAACCATTGAAGGTTCACTGTTGTTTAGAGAAATAAAGGTTCAAGACAAAGTTCTAGCAGCAAAATGTCTTTATTGTGCTACTTCAAGGGTGTATCGTATATGGTGTAGGTGTTAGGGATCAAAGGTAAGTGTAGAGTAAAATCTGGGGTCTTCCTGATTCACTGCCCTTAGGCTACCAACTTGTGAACTTAAATACTTGCTACACTGGCTAACTAAGCTACCTTACTCTAGCACTAATATTACTATAGCATAGATTATTCAAGCACTTACTTATCAAAGGTTGGTAATTATGCACAGTTACTGTGCCTAAGGCTATACTAATGTGACTAAGAGTCCTCACTAACCAGCTCTCCAATAATTTGATGAATAATTCTCTATGACTATGGCTGACTTGCCATAGTTTTAGCTACGTGACATGTTTTGCAAGGCTGTGCATGGATAATTCATGACTGCAGGGGGTTTTCACATGGGGTGGCAGTGCTGAGTCTTGTCACAGATATTCCATTTATTTCTTTTATCTTGACTATATTTCTCCTAAGTACCTTACTGACTCATATTCGCTTAGTACCACATCCCACAGATGTCACATTTACACTTCTATTTGGACCAAGGTGCCAGCTCATCATATGATTCACAGACCTATTAAGTACCATTTTTGGACACTCTGTCTTGTATTTAAGTAGACCAAGCTGTGGCCTTAAGCCCCAGCTTTGGCTAAGGTCTATATACCTAGTTATCGACTCCATCCGCCTCACCTAGGCTGTCTAAGTCATCTGCTAAAAGACTACTTGCGCCTGCTCATTGTACACTTGACCAAAGTGTGAGTCACATCACGAGTTTGACCTTGTTTGTCATACTAGTGGGTTATATTCAGCTAAAGCTTCTCTCAAGGGCCTTCATTGTCAACCACAACAGTGAACATCACCCATGAGCAGTACATCGTCTAACACCTTTAACGTCTTCGCTGGTTTCTTAACCGCCATCCTCATCCTGGTATTCTGTTTCCTGTATGGATACCTCCGATATAAGTGATGACACCACACCAGAGTCCTGCAGACCCCCGCTCCCAGGAGAGTATACTACGGGCTTGATGGACAACCCAGATGCACCCCATTCCATTATCGAAACACCAGTACCTTCTGATTCTGACACAGCACTTCAGCGTCAAGGGATGAGAACGTCCGCACCGACATCCCAGTCGAGCGAGGCGAAGAAGACATGGAAGGAGAGGTTCGGGTTGGCGGAGTTGAAGAGCAAGATGATGCTGACAGAAGAGAGCAGCGGGTCCTCACAGATGGGATTCTTTGGGCATCTGTGGACCCCTCAGATGAAGAATACAGGATCGCTGAAACAAGGGTCGACCCAAGCACAGGAGGAACTATCGTCGGCCCAGGAACTCATCCCCATTTCACCTGCCTCTACATCAGCACCAGCAGCAGAGAAGAAACTTTTATGGCCTACCACGGATTCCCCCTCTGTGCCCCAGATCCAGATGAGGTCCCCGAGCCAGAAGAGTTTGATGCCTACCAGCATGACTGGGCACTCATGGATGCATGGCACCAAGCCAACCGGCTCCCCCCACTCAAGGACAGGAAGATACCAGAGTTTGACCTCCAGTATCCAGACTCACCCACTATCCCCAGCTTCCCGGATCTCAGCCTCACTACTGGAAGAAGCAATGCCATGACAAGAGGAGAAGACATGAGACCTGACCCCCAAGACACCTCCAGCTCGGACCCATATGACTCATGGGTCACCGATGATGAGGAACATAACTCCCACCCAATTTGAAATGAGCTTGCCAACCACCATCTTAGCCCATATGGAGAGTGCCGCGGAGACCTATGCTGCCAGCTTCAAGCCATTGCTGAGGACCGAAGAAGGGATTAGGAGACTCCAGAACCCCTCGTACCCTATGTCAGGTGGACCCTTGGAGAATACGGAGAAGAGCCAGAACTGGCCAACTTCTTCTTCCATTGACCTGTCCATTCAGAGTGGGACATACTATACAGAAGGTTCCAGGACTTTGCCCGGGGGATACGAAATAGGAACTGGGCCCTCGCTAGAAGGGGAGGTGCCCACGTACCAGAGGGACAAGAATTCCCCATACTACCATGACCCAAAGACCAGCCCCTCTATTTCTGGCCTAGAAATACTGAGACCACCTGCTGGAACCACCTCTTTCCATGGGAGCATGCCCATATCACCAACTTCTGCTACTGGTTCCAGGGGCCCAATACCGAAGAATCTACACCCTACCCCAGATCAACCCCCGAACCCCGCCATGACAAAGGCAGTGACTGAGATGGATTGGGAGGAGCTTCTGGAATGGCAGGAGGGATCCCTGGCCAATGAGGGGTCATAGATCACCACGGAAGCTGCTAAATTAATGTACCAACCACAGCTGCCAGAAATGGTCAGAAATGCTATATATGAAGATGAAGTACACTATCATGCTGCAAAGTTATGGAACCAGTTGCATAACGACCAAGCAGACATCCTACAACCCTTTGAACAACAAAGTTATCCACTGTATCACTGGGCAATCATCCCCAAGGAACTGAGTCCGACCCGACTGAGCCTACCCCCGGGGAGTAGGCTCCAGGGGGGCATGCCAACAGAAGAAGAAGAATCGGAAACTAATGCTGATCAACCTTCCCAGCATGCCAAGAAGAAGGCCCACCCGAGTCATAAACCCCCTCCTCCTCTGTCTCCCCCATCGCTGCCATATAACCCACACCACGACTACGAACTATGGTCATTGCCAGAGTTGGTGGACCTGGAATTACCCCCCAAATCACCAGGACCTCCACCAGATAGCCCTGAACCATGGGAGTTAGAAGGAAGCGAACTTCCTTGGGGGACAGTTAGGCCCAAAATGATGAAGACTCTGGCACCTTTTTCTGGAGCTTTTAGTGATGTAAAAAGATTCTTGTCTGGATGCGAAGACTACTTCACCATCTTTCCCAGGGAATTCCCAATGAGCAAAAGAGGGTACACCCCGTCCAGGGTGGTATTCGCCACCTCCCTGCTTGAAGGAAAGGCACTAGAGTGGTGGGTCCAGAAGAAGGGACATCTGTACGATGCCGCTTGCTGACACACCTGGTACCCTACTTGGCCTAGTTTCGATGTGGACTTCAGAGAGAGGTTCAGGGAAGCCACAGAGATCAAACTAAAATGGATCAAATGGAAAGCACTGTGGCAGGTGAACTATAATGCCATCGAATTCTTCGTGGACTTCGAGGAACTAGCCATTGAGGCCGAGAAGTTCAGAAACGAGGAAGAGATGATGGATACGGTGAAAAAGGCCATCCGGATGAAGACTAAGGACATCATCATGCATGGGATAACAACCGACCCTGCAACTATGAGGAGTGGAAATGGAGGGTGAAGCAGATTGACGAGAACTACCATGTTCACAGGGCAGAAGAAGGAGGCAGGGGACCAGTGCCAAAGGCCACCACTCCAAGGCTAGTAATCCAGGGACCATCGACCATCGAAAGGACGCCACAGGGGCCACCTATGAGAGCCAGGGGCTTCTGATGGAGGTAGATCACCTGAAGAAGAACAGGCTATGCTTCCGATGTGGCCTTCCCAACCACATGGCCAGGGACAACAAGTGCCCTGCCAACAGGTCCCTATGGAAAATCCAACCCAAACCTAGTTTGTCGGCCGGGCAGTACAAACTCTCCAAATCAATGATCCGTGCAATGCTCAATGACCCAAATTGACCAGAAGAATTAGCCGACACTACTCAGGTAGAGGAGGTAAAAGATGAGCCAGCGAGGAAGTAAGCAATTCAGTCATGCCGGCCAGGACTTTAGTTTCTACACCCTATGTATGTCCTATAATGCATTCAAATATACCCCCACTGCCATTATGTTCTACAGAAACTAAGAAAGAATCGCCTAACATCTCAGAGGAGCAAGGGGCTGCTGAAGGTGGAATAAGGGAAACAGAAGTGCCAGTGAAGTGTCTGGGTCTGTGCACAGGTGGACCCATACCCACTGAGGACCCTAATGGAACGTGCCATGACATGGAGGCCTTTATGTCCCACTCTGCTTCACGTGAAACCTCTACCCAGACAAGAGTTATGGTGGAAGAAGTACCCAATGAGGATGACGATTACAGCTACCTACACCCTAAGAAAGCATATGCCGAGGAGAAGACCTGAACCAAAATCGTGGAGTACCCTCGGCAGATGGGAACAAAATGCCCACAGGCCTACCACCCTCACCAGGACAGGCCAGAATGGATATGAAGGGGATTAAGGAATGCACACACCCTGGAAGAGCAAAAGGGAATTCTAGGATGGTGGGTACACCCGTCAAAGGCAAAGGAAGTAGTAGCTGAGATGATCTGGCAGCTCGCTGAGAGAGAAGGAGAGAGTGCGGCATAAACTGAACAAGGGCTGGATGAGCTCGAAGAGCTGTGGGCACCGCCGCAGTATATACGTGGAGGCAAAGGGCGCCATATAACAATTAAGCTACAACTTGAGATGCTGGACACCTGGAACCCCCACCAGGTAACAGCCCTGGTCGACAGTGGCTGCACTGGGAGTGCCATAGATCGGAAATGGGCCAAGGACCACGCCCTCCAATTGTGACAAACTGCCTGTCCCACCCCTGTATACAATGCAGACAGCACCTGAAACAAAGGCGGGGATATTACAGAATACGCCGAGGTCAGACTGATAATCGGGGACCACGAAGAGTGCATCGAGCTAGCAGTCGTAGACTTGGGGACCACCCCCCTCTTCCTCAGATATGACTGGCTACAACGACACAACCTGATAATTGACTGGACGACTGGAGCAGTAACCCTAGCAAGATGCAACTGCAGACCCATCCCCTTCCGCCTGCCAGATGAAGATTCCCTGTGATGGACAGAGTATGAGGAAGGCGACCAAATCCTAGTAGTTGACATGGAATGGGAAATGCACATCTGAGCCACCAGGACGCTATCCAACAACCTGGCTGCCCAGGCCAACCAAGCTAAGCCAGACCGGACATTCAAGGAGATCGTACCCACAGAATACAGAGAGTACTATGATGTCTTTGCCAAAGAAAACTTTGATGAACTACCTCCCAATAAACCCTGGGATCATGCCATCGAGCTAATCCCCAATGCGAAGGCCAGCCTGGACTGCAAAGTGTACCCCCTTAACCCGCAAGAACAAAAAGAGCTCGATGTGTTTCTGGACGAGAACCTAGAAAGTGGGAGGATATGCCTGTCCAAATCCCCCATGGCCTCCCCATTCTTCTTCATCAAGAAGAAGGACAGGAAGCTAAGACCCGTCCAGGACTATCACAAACTCAACAAGATGATGATCAAGAATCGGTACCCTCTGCCCTTAATTGGGGAACTAATGGATAAACTCCAAGGGGCCTGATATTTCACCAAGTTGGACATGCGGTGGGGGTACAATAATGTCCGGATACAGGAGGGAGACGAATGGAAGGCCGCATTCTGCACGAATTGGGGGTTGTTCGAACCCTTGGTCATGTTCTTTGGACTCACCAATTCCCCGGCCACATTCCAATGGATGATGAACAACATATTCAAGGACCTCATTGTGGAAGGGAAGGTCACTGTATACCTCGACGACATCCTCATCTTTACCTGAACCCTCGCAGAGCACCACCAAGTAACAAGGCGGGTGCTCCAACTACTCCAGGAACATAAACTATTCCTGAAAGCATCAAAGTGCGAGTTTGAAGCACTCGAAATAGAGTACTTAGGGGTGATCATCAGCAAGGGGAACATACGCATGGATCCAGTCAAGATAGCCAGTATTCTGGAATGGCCAGAACCCACCAAGAAGCAGGAATTACAATCATTCCTCAGGTTCACAAACTTCTATAGACGGTTCATCAAACACTACAGCAACAAAGTATGCCCATTAACTCGACTAACAGGTAAGGTACCCTGGGAATGGGGGAAGGCTTAGGAGGAGGCATTTCAAGGTGTTAAACAATGCTTCTTAGAGGGCATGGTGCTGGAGATGGCTGACATCACAAGACTGTTCCGAATGGAGGCCGACTTGAGTGACAGAGCAGTAGGGGCAGTATTATCTCAAGAAGATGAGGCAGGGTGTTGGAGACCACTAGCGTTCCTTTCCAAGGTGCTCACAACTACTGAATGCAACTATGAGATATACGACAAGGAGCTCCTGGCCATCATGGTAGCCCTCTCAGAGTGGCAACACTACCTCTTAGGGGCCCAACTGGACTTTGAAATCTGGAGCGATCACCAAAACCTCCAATATTTCCAAAAACCCCAGAAGCTAAATCGTCGGCAAGCAAGGTGGGTCACCAAACTAGCGGAATACCACTTTAGTCTTCACCACAAGCTGGGGGCATCCAACAAGAAGGCCAATCTTCTTAGTCGTAGGGCAGATTATGAACAAGGAAAGGACGACAATCAGGACATAGTCGTTCTCACTCCGGAACACTTCCGGGCCCTGGAAATGCCATCGGAGGAGAATATTCACAACCAAATCTGCTAGGCCACTCAAGACCTGCACAACTGGGACCAAGACATAGCCACTTCACTCAACCATGACGAGGGGGTAACTAAGGAAGAGGGGCTCCTACTCCATGACAACTGCATTTATGTCCCACGAGACACTACCTTGCCTGGAGATATTCTTGCCCGACACCATGACCACATTCTAGCGGGACACCCAGGGATAGAGAAGACCAAGGAACTGATACTACGAGAGTACTGGTGGCTGAAACTATGGAGCGACATAGAGGCATATGTGTGTGGTTATGAAACATGTCAATGCACCAAAAACTCCACTCGGGCTAAAAGTGCACCCCTCTATCCCAATGAAATCCCAGATAAACCATGGGACATCATCACCATAGATTTAATTACTGACCTACTGGAGTCAAACAGCCACAACGCACTCCTCAACATCGTCGATCGTTGCTCCAAAACCCTGATCACGATACCTTGCTCTAAAGAGTTATCTGCGAAGGGATGGGCTAAAATCCTCTGGGATGAGGTGTGTTGCAAATATGGGTGCATCCCCATCAAGATCATTTCAGATCAAGGCCCTCAATTCATCACCAAATTCACAAGGGAGTTGTACCGATTAATGGGTATAGAGGGTAATCCTTCCACCGCATATCACCTGCAGACGGACGGACAGATGGAAAGAGCAAACCAGGAGGTAGAGAAGTACTTACGGATATTTGTCTTATACTGGCAAGATGACTGGAGCAAATGGCTGCCCTTAGCGGCATTCGCCCACAATAATCAACAACACTCTGCCACGGGATTCTCCCCATTCAAGGTCACATTTGGTAGAGACGGAGATTTATTCCCCAGCCCACACATGCACCAAAGTGACATCCC